TATTGCATACAGATTTACTAAAAGCATAAAACCCTGAACCGGAAGATAAAAGCAACATAATTGAATCATTTTAAAACCAAAACATGTAAAATTTAAAAATACATAAGAGTAAAGAAACTGAAATCACTGAGCCGGGTAACAGAGTGGATATATATATAAATATATTTATATATTTAAGATATATTTAATATTTATATATGTTTGGTGCGGCCGATTGCCACTAAAATACGAGGTGCACATCTACATGCTATAGCAGTCCTATATACAAAATTTCAACGTTCTGAGGCTACTCGTTTTTGAGTCATGCGAGATACGTACGTACATACGTTCGTACAGACGCCACGAAAAATTCTCTTCAGAATTCATTTTAAAGCAGTTTTATAATTTTTTTTTGGAGGAAAAGAGTCTTTTATTCTGTCCTTACGTACATATATCACGGAAATACATCGTTGAATTGCATTGGAAAGAGGTCAAAATGGGATATTTTGGTTGAAATATGCTGCCTGAACCTTTTCGCGATTGCAATACTTCCTTTTTACTTCGTACAAGGAAGTAAAAAAACTTAAATTTTTCAGATTTTAAATAAAGTCCAAACGGGAGTTTCTTTAACATTTTGTGTGCTACCTTTATATATTAAACATCATTTCTTGGCACTGAAACCATAAAATTCAGTTCAACAGCAACATCGCAAAATAATTTTAAAATGAGCATATCTTTAGAAGTTCCGATACGCAGTCTCGCGCGCTGGAGATAAAAATGTTTTTTTCTGTACAAGGTTGATATTGTTTGCATTGAAACTGTTGAGTTTTTAAATCAAAAATTCGTTAAAGTTTCACAAAATATGAAATCGATAATGAAACAAATTCCAAATTTCAAATCTGGGCTTCTAGATGCCCATAATCGCAGCAGCATTACGTCATTCAAAATTGCATGGCTCTAGGTACCGTTGTTTTATCACAATGCGAGAACATACACACATTTACGCAGATTCTTCGTTATTTAATTTCTTCAACTATAATACAGGGTGATAATATTTGGTGGCAACATTTTGAAAAAGTGAAACAACGCTTGTAGTGATTCAACGCAAAATGCCAAAACGAAATTAATATTCCTTCCGGGCAAATTGCCCCTTTGGACTAATAATTAAATCAAATTAATGCAATCTTGATTACCAAACTCCGTCATTTAAAAGCAATACGTTGCCATTCGGCAGAGCTAAGTTATTTATATTTCAAATTTAATCACAAAATTTAACGCAAGAGCCTTGAGCATCATATAGGTGACAGCACGACTTTAGCTCAGTCCCCCCTCCAATTTTGAGAGACAGCAACCCCCGGAGGACGGGCCCGAAGATCTCTCACCTCTCTATCACTACCGCTAACCTCTTTAGAGGACTTTCGGCTCGCCGCATGTTTAGAGTACCCCATGCCGCACAGACACTATATGCATTCACAAACATTCATGCCATCTCTGGGATTCGAACGCAGGCCCTTCGGAACGACAGTTGCTTTCTCCGACGATGTTTCAGATTTGCGATGTTGTCTCCTTTCTTTCTTTTCTCACGCGACGTTTTCCCTTTGTGTTGTTTTCTCAGCGATGTTTTTGCTACTAAGTTTTCGCCTATATCTGATAATTATTAGCAAATGCCGAACACTTTCGACCTCGACTACATGGTTTCGCATGAAAAGTTAGATTTCGTAGCATTTACAATTTTTCTTAATGCCAGAATATGAATATTTAGGCATTAAAAACATTTTTGTAGTTGGAAGTATATATGTGTCCAGCACCAAATGGTTGTGAGCCTAAGGACCGCATGAGGACAAAGTATATATATATATATATATATGATATACCAGCTTTTGTCGTAACTTAAATTATCAGACGATAAGTTTAAAAAACAGGATCCATTTATTATTATTCAGGAGAAATAGCAGTTACAAAATCAGATATCCGGAGTAAATAAAAAGAATTACTAATAACTTTTTCTATGAAGTTTACTGCATCGTGACATTCAAGAAAAAGCCCCCGATATTCCTTTGCGAGTCCTTTTATAGCCTCTGGAAAGGCGGAGCTTCCAAGAAATGACGTCGGCCTCGTCAGCCAATCCAGTTCGCTTTAAACAGTTCCAGAACATTCTATAACTGTACGTGTAGAAAAGGCGGAAAAACAACTTGACTACGGGGCTGTGGATTTAATTCCACGTCCTTTCAAATAAGAGAACGTCGCCATTAAAAATGAAAAGAACATACAGTTAGAATTTTAAGTGTATTCTTGACTATGGAATTTTATTATTACAAATATATATATATACATTCTAATCACAAAAGTTCTTACCGTGCCTTTGCTTTTAACTTTCCTCAACAATTGTTTTATACAGTTCAACTTTACTTTTGCATTCAAGTTTTACCACTCAACTCAATTCCAAATATATGCCTTACGATTTGCAATAAAGCAAAATGTTAGTTTCTGTTATCATCTTTTAAACAGTATAAACCTCTGAGTTTGCTTTAATTATTTACTTACTAGCTGTACCCGCCCGGCGTTGCCCGTGCATTTAGAAAATGCAGATAAGTGAATAGCGCAGGAATAGTAGTGTAGGACATGTAGACTGTCTCTCTCTCTTCCCCCCCCCACATACACAACATTCCCCGTCGATAAAAAGGAACAATATATCCTAACCATGAGCCATCTGTTAAAAAATTAGTTTAAATGAGAACAGACCTCATATTAGCACATGCTAGGAAACCGTAGTCATGTGGTTATAATCATTGGTCTGAAGTATAAAGAAAAGTAAACATAAAAAATTCAAAATCAAAGATAGGAAAGAGTTGAAAGGGAAAGATAGAGAGTACAGTACAGAAAAAATAAAAAAGTAACGAAAACATGGGATGAAATAAAACATCCTGCTTACAGGAAATTTGGAGTTAAGAACCAATTAAATTTTTAATTTAAGTGTAAGTTAAATTTAGATGACAATGAATTAGAAGAGGAGAGTGTTTGTGTATGTTTGTGGAGCTCGGGCTGGGGTCGCAAGGGACCCTGACCGATTAATGTCTGTTGGTACGGCAGCACCATTCGGATTATTGCTCATGCTCTCAAGAGAGCACTAAACAATAACATCACTATTTAAAGCATGATAGTCAGAGTTAGTTTGGGAGAGTGGCAATAATTTTTCGTTAGATTGTCCTTTTCGTTAGAGAGCCTCGGGATAAACTATATTTAATGTTCTTCCATTCGGAGCTAAGATGTGTAGATTATCGGCATTACCAACTCTTGAACAACCCACGTACAGTTGACCATGGGAAAGAGAAACACGGCTTACGGAGGTCGAGCCCTACAACTTTGAGAGATTGTCCTTGTGCCTTATTAATGCTCATCGCGAAACTCAAACGAACAGGGAATTGTAGACGCTTAAACTGAAACTGGAGATCGGAAGGGATTATAGGAATTCTTGAAATAAACACATCTTCGCCTGCAGCATGTCCGGTCATGATGGTGGCTTCTATAATATTTGGCATCAGTTTCTTGATAGAAAGTCTTGTTCCATTGCAAAGTGCAGGCGGATCCAGATTCCTGAGGAGAATTATCGGTGCTCCAACCTTCAAGTCCAATATGTGGGAGGGTACTCCAGGTGGCTCTAATTTGTTGAGAAACTCTGTCGTATAGTTGACAGCCTCGTCAATATTGCATGTCGTGTCTATAGATTTGTAAATATGAAGAGTTCCGGGTAAGTTCTGTAAAAGTTCCTTGTTGATAACACTGACGGCTTCGTTTGTTGGGGCAAGAATTGCTCTTTCGCACAGCCATGCGTGATCAGTGAAGTGGTGAATCACATTCGGAAACACAGCCTCTTTCAGTTCTTCTTCAGTAGTCACAATCCTTCCAATGCCTTGCATCGCTACATATCCATCTTCATTTTCTGAAGTAAGGGCTCCATTTCCTAGTTTCAGTAGATTATCTGCAAACTGCTGGGCAGAGGGATCACCGTTGAGATGAACTCACATGTTAGTCGATAATCCAAGTGTTTGAATGCCATTCCAGATGTAAGAAGATTTTATGCAGGCCTGCATTTCATCTGCCCTCGTTCCACGCGGAATAACTGGTAGCGTCTGTCGAAAATCGCCTGCCAAAACCATTACGACGCCTCCCATTCTGTCATTGTTTCCGTCTGAGGTCTTTCATGGTGACATCTAATGCTTCGAATGCGGCTTTGTGGGACATGGTACACTCGTCCCAAACGATGAGCTTGCAATCCTGTAGAACCTTTGCCTTTCCTGAATTCCTTGGGATGTTACACGTTGGAGTCTCTGTGCTTGTCAGATTTAAGGGTAACTTGAACGCCGAGTGAGCAGTCCTACCACCTGTCAAGAGTGTAGCAGCAATGCCGGATGAAGCGACAGCCAGGGCAATCTCATTTCTGTGCCGCACCTTTGCCAAAATAAGGTTGATAAGAAACGTCTTCCCGGTTCCGCCTGGAGCATCCAAAAAGAATATACCCCTTTGCCTTTAAAAAACTGCTCTAGTAATCTTGTCAAAGGCTTCTTTTTGATCTTGGACCAATTTAGGCTCATTCTCCTGTATATAAGCTGCTAGCACATCCATGTTATAACTTCGTTCTCTAATTACTTCACTGGAAATGGCAGAATCGCTGTTTCTGTTAGGTTGGGAAAGTCCAAAGCTTTTCAGGTTCAATCCTCCTAGAGATATTATCTTGTTCCCAATGTAGATTAGGGCTCTGTTAAAGATGTCGTCATTGTAGTCCAGGTCCATATTCTGCTGCTGGATCCTTGCTTGATGCAGTATGTCTTCAGACAGGTTCTCCCTGTGGGTCATCCATAAACTGTTCAGGGCCCGACATGGAGCACGTTTGAAGCATTACAGCAAACAGATTACGCATCATCTTGGGTGATCGAGATGCAGCTGCTTCTTCTAACGCCGTGTTCCAGTGTTCGTCATTCTCCAGAAGTCCTTGAAGTTGGCAGGCCTCTTTGGAAGTGTTGCAGACTCTTCCTTGAACGGTTCTCAAATCCGTGAATGATGTTGGGCCTCTAACTTCATGTAGTAATAGGCGAAGGTGGAAGCATTCGGAGTTGTTGGGATGGACGGTGTAGACACGGCCAAGAGCATCAGTAGACCGGATTCCTGTTTCTTCTGGCCGCATTTTCATCGAATGCCGCATTTTCTAAATGCCTCCAGAGACGCATTCGAGCAGTAGTTGTTGCAGTTGTAACTCTCTGCAGTCTTGAGTTTCTTTCTGGGATGTTTTCTTCTTCTCTTCTTCTTTGATGAATTTCTCTCACCTGTTGCTGTCTTGACTCTCTTTCTGGGGTGGTTTCTTCTTCTCTCCTTCTTCGACTTCTTTCTGCGTCCTGTTGCTGTCTTGAGTTTCTTTCTGGGGTGGTTTCTTCTTCTCTCCTTCTTCGACTTCTTTCTGCGTCCTGTCGTTGTCTTGAGTTTCTTTCTGGGGTGGTTTCTTCTTCTCTCCTTCTTCGACTTCTTTCTGCGTCCTGTCGTTGTCTTGAGTTTCTTTCTGGGGTGGTTTCTTCTTCTCTCCTTCTTCGACTTCTTTCTGCATCCTGCCGTTGTCTTGATTCTCTTTCTGGGGTGGTTTCTTCTTCTCTCCTTCGACTTTCTTTCTGCATCCTGGTTTGTCTTGATTTCCTTTCGGGGGGTGGTTTCTTCTCTCTCCTTCTTCGACTTCTTTCTGGTCCGTGTTGTTTTCTTTTCGGGGTGGTTTTCTCTCCTTTCTTAGACTTCTTTCTGCATCCTGTTGTTGTCTTAATTCTTTCTGGGGTGGTTTCTTTTCTCTCCTTCTTCGACTTCTTTCTGCGTCCTGTGCTTGTCTTGTCTTTCTGGGGTGGGGTTTCTTCTCTCCTTCTTCGACTTCTTTCTGCGTCCTGTCGTTGTCTTGATGTTCTTTTCTGGGGTGGTTCTTCTTCTCTCCTTCTTCGACTTCTTTCTGCATCCTGTCGTTGTCTTGATTCTCTTTCTGGGGTGGTTTCTTCTTCTCTCCTTCTTCGACTTCTTTCTGTGTCATGTCGCTGCCTTGCTTCTCTTTCTGGAGTGGTTTCTTCTTGTCTCCTTCTTCGACTTCTTTCTCTCTCTTGTCGATTTTTATTTTCCAAACATTTCTTTTTTCGAGGTGGCTGCGGCATATTTCTTCTAAAATCTGAAAAGCAAAAGTTAAGCAACCAACAGAAGAATGATTACAAAAACTGAAGAAAACGCTACAATAAAGAAATCAATTGTTATAATCGAACGTTATTTGAAAATAAATAATAGCAACACGATCAGTGAGTCAAAAAACCATGATAATATTAATTAAGAAACAAAAAGTTTATAAAGTGCAATTCTGAAAAAAAAAAGAAATTAATGTGTCATGAAAACAGCAAACTAAAGCTACAAAAAAGAAATGAATTGTAATTAATCGATTTAATGTATCGTCAAAACAGCAAACTAACGCTAGAATAAAGAAATCAATTGTTACAATCGAACGTTATTTGAAAACAAATAATAATATCAGTGAGTCAAAAAAAACCGTGATTAATTAATTATAAATAATTTTTTTTTAATTTTTCTAATTCAAAAATCGAAAATCGGGCTTCGAGGTCTGGTGGCCAACCCCTTTGTGCTTCCGTATAAAAAATTCCAGGTCCCTGCGTGCGATAGATTTGGCTGGAGAGCTCGGTCAGACAGACAGACAGACAGACACATTACACTTGCTTTTATTATTATAGATTGTTGACCTAAACTGATTTAAACCTTTAAATTCAATTATTATTTAACTAAAATCCACCGAATTTTAAGTACTAACTATTGCTAACTTAAAACGGAAGGAAGAGCTAGAGTAAAAAGAAATTAAATGAAGCGTTAAGGAAAACTTAAAGCGAAAGTTTCTCAAACACTTGGGCGAAGAATGAGCACTGCAAAGGTGGCGCCATCTGGTGAGAAAATAATTTGGCTTAGCACAATTAATTACCAAAATCATACAGGCCTTATTTTAAGTATCAAATGTATTATCCATGAAAGCTTATAAGTATTTTCTCCCTCCGTCCAGCATAGCACGCGCGGTGTTTGTTCGAGAAATCCAGGTTCGAATCCTGGCGAAGGCACTCAACATTTATCACGTCTTTTGCTTCGAAAACCCTAATGAGTGGACAAGTGGCGCCCGAACTAAAAGTCCCCATTCGCCCTTTAAAAGGGGGAGTATATAAGGCACTTTGTCCTTCTTTTCCGCATGCCTTGGTGGTGTAACTGGAAGCATACTCGACGCGTATTCGAGAGCTCCAAAGGTCGAGTCCCGGTGAGGGCATTGCACATTTTTCACATCTTCTGCTTCAAAAATAACTTAATGACACTGCAAGCTTATCAATAAATATAAATAGCTTCAATAAACGACATAGTAAGCCTGCTGATTACGTCCGGGTCACCACTTCGGCGGTACGATTGGTAAGGAAGAAATGCGTTGTTGGTGGAAAATACCAGCCATATAGGAAACACTATCCTTTTTTGTAGCACAGAAACTGGTAATACTATTTTAATGCTCAAACAAGATGGTCAAAAGTACGCGCATAATCATAGCATGTCGGGAATCTGATTTCCGTTTTTCCGAAGTTTTGTTTTATTTAAAGCTATCTTTATTTAAATTTTCCCCTTTATTAAAAATTGATTTACTGCGTCTTATATTATGCCCTTGTTGCTCATTAGCCGCCGAGCGGTAAAGTCGCTGAACACTGGGAGTTCTGTCCGTGTGAGCTTTTAATCCCGGCGAAAGCGCTGTTTGCATGGGCGTTTTCGTGGTTTTACCTATGTGTAACTTGTATACGAGCCAATTCCACTTAAAAGTCCTCCACGAAGACATCCCTTCCTTTAGACAGATAACCCTCGAGCGCTTTACTTTGAACAAATAAAACAACAACCAAAAAAAAAAAACTATACGTGTTCTATATGTTTTTTAATAGCGCCCAACTAAGAGAGTGTGTAGCGACACTAATTGTATAGAATATCAGCGAAACGTTGTACAAATTAAAAAAAAAAAAAAAAAAAATGCATTGTTGTGACTTATCTCACTTGTCTGACAATGACATCAGAACAAGCCTACGAAATTCTTCGTGTCAAGGAGTGCAAGATTGCACCTGTCGTTGGCAACAGTTTTGAGCACCATACAGGTGCGACTTTGCTCAATCACCCCCCCCAGTTTTGATGGTTATCAATCAAGGTGTGATGTTGCGCGCTTCCAACCTGCACGCAACAATAGTGGTGACTGCTAAGAACTGGAAAGTAGACAAAGTCTTGAGAAGTGTTTAAATCAATTTTTATTCAACTTTAGAAATTACAAATGCGTGCTCTTGACGCTCACAAACTACGCCGACCCGGCGGTAAAATAATAATAAGAAACTAAGAAAAGAATATTAACAAGTGACTAACTACGAGGCTCTCTAAACGTAACTAACCTCACCGCGTTCTAAAATACCGCTGATAATTCAGCAAACTTCTGAATATTACGTTGAACGATTTAACAATCTGCCGACGCAAGCACACAGGCCGAAACGCGTGGTTCTTCAATTTCTAACTAGCCACCTCCACGCTCGTGAAGCAAGAAAGCACACTTTCGAACTCGTTTCCCTTCTATTTAACTCAGAATACTTCCGCTGACTATTTTGAATCCTTGCGCGTTTTACTAAAATTTACATACTCTGGCATTGGCAATTCCAGGGGAAAGTAAGGCTTGAGAGGAAAGATAGTTTAAATTTAAAATAAATGTTAGTTAAAATAAATATAAACCCTACAAAGGGGAAACGGGATTGAGGTTCTTCCACCCCTTTTCCACTACCACCAGCTTCTCGAGGAGACTTTTGGCTCGTCGCATATTTAGAGTGCTCCCATGTCGCACAGAGTGACTGGAAAAATGTCCATACGAAAAATGCTCACAGATATAAAATCTCACAGGAAAAAAGCCCACATGGAAATATGCCCGCATAAAAAAAAGCTCGCGCAGAAAAAAGCTCACGTGAAATATGTTCACATGGACAAATGCTCACATTAACCTTTTCAAGGGTGGTAAATAAAAGCATGAAAACTGTAGTAAAATTTTGCATGTACTGAAATATTTTATGCCACTTCCCCTATATGACATTTTTTTTTTCCTGTAAGTGCAATAATTAAATTTTGTTTCTTCACTTTATTTTTGCATACTTTTGTTGTGTATCGATAGAAATTGACGTTTGAGTGTAGTTATTTAAGTTTGGAGCCAAAAAAGTTGTAAAATTTCTGCAGAAATTTAAAATTTTAGAAATAAATTTAACATTTTTCACAAATTGTTGCGAAGGCTCTCATAACGCACTAAATTCTTATTTAATTGTAGCCATCTCAGTATATGGTTTTTATTTGACGGTCTGAAAAAAGATTTAGTCTCTCAACGTTTGTTATTAGCTAATGTAAATACACGATATACTGAAGTAAAAAAAAGAAAACATGAAAACTTACATTTGGTAATCGTGAATCATGTAAGAAACTATGATGAAATCGATGCTAAAAATAAACTTTTTACGTAATTTAAATAAAATAATCATTCTAAATTCTTATTCATTCTTTATTCTTCTTTATTATATGTTTATATTATAAAATGTGTAACTTATATTTATTATTTTTGAAATTTTTTTAACAATTAAAATTGTAATAATTTTTCACAATAATTCTGTTTCATGTTTACTTCCTTTCTCCTCTTCTTTTCTTAATTCAAAACGGCCCATTTGTTAATCTTATATAGCAACTGAATCTACACATAAGTTATAAAGTTTTTGAAATATAGTATACCATAAATGTTTTGGTAATTTAAATAATTTTTCTTTAGAAAATTCAAGTAGGTGAACGATGTTCAATTCGATTAATTATTGATTCATTAATGTAAGGATATTCCTATGTGAATTATTTATCAGTGGGTTTATTTCCATGTGAGCTTTTTTCCTTGTGAGCATATTTCTAAGTGAGCATTTTTCCATGTGAGCTTTTTTCCTATGTGGGCATATTTCTGTGTGGGCTTTTTTCCTGTGAGCATTTAGACCTGTGAGCATTTTTCCTGTGGGCCTTTTTTCCTGTGAGCATTATTCCTGTGGGCTTTTTTCCTAGAACCGTCGAACACCGGGATTCGAATCTGGGCTCTTTGGAATTCGAATCTCTCTCTACAGTTTTCATGCTTTTATTTACCACTCTTGAAAAGGTTAATGTGAGCATTTGTCCATGTGAACATATTTCATGTGAGTTTTTTTCTGTGCGAGCTTTTTTTTATGCGGGCATATTTCCATGTGGGCTTTTTTCCTGTGAGATTTTATATCTGTGAGCATTTTTCGTATGGACATTTTTCCAGTCACTCTGTTCGACATGGGAGCATTCTAAATATGCGACGAGCCAAAAGTCTCCTCGAGAAAATGGTGGTAGTGGAAAAGGGGTGGAAGAACCTCAATCCCGTTTCTCCTTGGTTGATGCCCATCAAAACTGGGGGGGGACTGAGCAAAGTCATACCTGTATGGTGCTCAAGACTGTTGCCAACGACAGGTGCAATCTTGCACTCCTTGACACGAAGAATTTGGTAGGCTTGTTCTGATGTCATTGTCAGACAAGTGAGATAAGTCACAACAATGCGTGTTTTTTTTTTTATTTGTACAACGTTTCGCTGATATTCTATACAACATTCGACTTCGCTTTTACATTACACTTTACATTTTTCTTATCCATTTTGCATTACGCTTAGTAAAATTATTTGTAAAATATAGTCTTAGTTTGTTTTATATAGTATTTTATTTAGTGCATGAGAAAATATTATTTTATATAGTATTTTATTTAGTGCATGAGAAAATATACAATAAATTTTATTTAAAAATAATTCCTCTTGTACAGTTTTGTATACATAATTATTATATGTTGTTATTGGGACTGATGTAAATCTTAAAAACAGGTAAGAACAGAGTGCGAAAAAATATGAGTTAAGATTCAAAAATTAAAAACGGGAGGAAAAATTAATGAAAACTTCGAAGAAAAATACTTTAATTGATGAAAAAACGCTCGAAATACTATTCAGTAAAATTTGGAATTATATATCTGATCTTTATAAAATTAATAATTAAATGAAATTTTTCATAATTTTCACATCACGAAAAGAAAGTTTACAATTAGGTCATTTCTCCCCAACCGGACGAATAATATTAATAGGGAAAATATTTTCAAAGTTGGCGCTTTAATAGTAAAACTCCCAAAGGGGTCAACAAAATTAAAAAATAAATAAATAAGTAAATAAAAATCTGAAAGTTTTCAGATTTTATAAAACGCCCACAGGAGCTTTTTTTTTAAAACTTTTTGTGTGTTACCTTTATTTATTAAATATCATGTTCTTCGCACTTAAACCATAAAATTCAATTGAACAGCAATATCACAAAAGACTTTTAAATGAGCATATCGTTAGAAATTCCGATACACAATCTCACGCGCTGGAGATAATAATTTTTCCGCAGAGTGTTGCCATTGCTTGCTTCGAAATCGTTGAGCTTCTGAACGAAAAATCCGTTAAACTTTTAAAAATATGAAATCGATAATAAAACAAATTACAAATTACAAATTTGGGCTTCTAGATGCCCATATTCTTGTAGAAAGGTTCAATATTTAAAATTTTATAACTCTAGGTAGCGTTATTCTATCACAATACGAGAAACATACATATATTTATGCAGATTCTTCGTTATTTAATTTCTTTAAATATAATACACAGCTCTAATATTCGGTTGCAACAATTTGAAAAGTGAACCGACATTTATAGTGAATGAAGGCAAAATGACTAGTAACTTTATTCCTTCGGAAAAAAGTTACTTTGGAATAAAGTTCCTGAATTCCTTCGGAATGTAACGTAAAAATGCCTAAAGAAAGCACCAAACATTAAATTTAAAAACTGCACAGAATTTTACTCTGCAGAATAACTTTATTAAAAAAAAAAAAGTAAAACAGAACTTTCAATAGAAATGCATTATATATGTAAAAACATGACAATGAAATAAGCAATATACCTTAACACAAATATTAATTATCCTAATAAATAAATTAACCAACTTCACGTTGCAGAATCTGAAGAATTCAAATGGTATAAAGAAAGTTAAAGACTTTGTTTCCTAAAACAATCGTGCAAAACTTTTTATATAATTAAAATTATATATAATTAAAACATAATATAAAAAATACAATGAAATACGCAATAAATATGATATTTTCAAGAGAAAACAGTCAGCAGTCGAGTATGCAAAGCAATGAATGAAAAACTGTTGCCAAAACTAGATTTCTAAAAGAATGAAATTATCATCAGAAAGCAATAACCAATCAAAATTGCGCTTTCTGGATGACATAATTCATAATATACAAATCTCTTTGCCATTAGCTAATAAAGAGAAAGAGAGAGAGAAAAAAAAAAGAAATTATTTCTGTTGTGCGTCGCGAGATACATGCACGTCAGAATAAGAAGATTACTATGTGCGTGTTGCGTGTATAATTAATAATATTTTATCTCTTATTTTCAACAGTCAGCAGTCCAGTATACAAAACATTGAATGAAAAACTGCTGCCAAAACCACATTTCTAAAAGAATGAAATTATTCAAAATGATGCAATTTCATTAAAAAAGGTAAAATTTAAAAAAATCTGATTCGAATTTTGAAAAAATCGCTTCGAAGGGCACTGACTCTTGTCTAGATATACCTATATACGAAATTTCGTAGACCTGGGTCTATTATCTTACGCGCAACACAAACAAAAGGCACACACACAGACACTTTCTTTTATTATATGTAGAGAATGCACAACCTATATGTATGAACAAGAATTTTTTTTTTATGTTATATTTAAAAAAAAGTACAGAACAAAATTAAAAGTGAATCCTAATTTACGGTTAAAGCTTTACGGAAATATGGCCAGACATAAAGAAAATGATCTCTCTTAAACTGGCAACCAAATTTCATACTAAATTTTCAGAATTAAATATTATAACTCAAATTCTGATAATTAAAATGGTAACCAATTTTTAATCTAATATTTTTATGTGTGCACATTTAATACAAATAGCCAATAGGTTGTGCAAATGGCAAAATACTTTTTTTACTTCCTTGTACGAAGTAAAAAGGAAGTATTGATATCGCGAAAAGTTTCAGGCAGCATATTTCAACGAAAATATCCATTTTGACCGCTATCGAATGTAATTTAACGATGTTTTTGCGTAATATCCGTACGTAAGGACAGAATAAAAGACTCCTTTCCTCCAAAAAAATTATAAAACTGCTTTAAAATTAATTCTGAAGAGAATTTTCCGTGGCGTCTGTACGAACGTATGTATGTACGTACGTATCTCGCATAACTCAATAACGAATAGCCTCAGAACTTTGAAATTTTGCATATAGGACTGCTATAACATGTAGATGTGCCCCTCGTATTTTGGTTGCAATCGGTTGCACCAAACGTATATAAATATATTTATATATATATCCACTCCGTTACCCGGCTCAGTGATCTCAGTTTCTTTACTCTTATATGTTTGTAAATTGTACATTTTTTGCTTTAAAAATGATTGAATTATGTTGTTTTTATCTTCCGGTTAAGGTTTTTATGCCTTTAGTAAATCTGTATGCAATATTTTTAGAATTATCAACAATTTTAAAGTTGTTTAAGTGCCACTAAGCCTTTTTTATGATGGCGGCCATTGATTGTTTACATTTGAAACAGCAGAATAGTGGATTTGTTGCCAATCTAGAGAAACTTAACTTCGCAACAACAAGGATAACGCCTTCATTTATTATTGCCAATTAAATCATGCTTAATCCTTTCTGGAATTTTTCGAGGAAATAAGTGTTTAAGATTTACTTCGTAATTTTTAATATAGATATTTTGAATTTTTATGCATTTTTGCCTTCTCGCGAAGTGAGAACTGAATTAATTGAATGAGAAATACTCAATCGTCTGTGAAAAACTGTTTCTTTTGTTTTGTTTTGCTTTAATTTCTTTTATACATCATTCTAGCTTTATTATAGTATTTGAATAGAACATGTGGCAACGATTAGATAATTCTATTCTTTAAATGATATAAATTTTGTGCATTGTGAGTTATAATATGAACGAAATATAATACTGTTAAGTGAATCTAGCACCAGAGTGTCGCTATGGTAAACAAATACTAGAGTAAATTTTAAAGAATGCATTTATTCTATTGTGGTTTATGCGCTGTCGGCGAAGTAGATTTAATTAAATCCAATAAGTTTAAATGAAATGCAAGAAAAAATGCGTATAATTTAATATTCCGTACAAGGAAGTCATGTGGTCTACATATCAGATTTTTTTTAACATTGTTATTCGGAAACTGAAGGATAATCAATGTAAAATTTAATAGTGGTACTAAATTTTTTCAATTGTTGTTTAGATGGTTGAGTCTAAAGGTTGAGAACCTTTATGTCATTGAACTCAGTAAAGTCTGAACTCTTTTATAAATCGTAAGTTTATGTCCCCCAAAACTGAAGAATCAGCGAACGTTTAGACTCAAATAACTCAGTTTATAAAAAGTACACGTAAAACTTAAAACGATAACGTATACATCCTTTTTTGTAAAAAAAACTATTCATTTGGTAAAACAGTTGCCTTTCTTTAACTAAAAATCTGAACCATTTTTTGTCTTATCGTACTTCTGTAATTACCGTTTGGTGATCAAGTACAGATACTAAAAGGTTTCATTGATCTTACGACTTCTGAAATTACAGTTTTGATTAGAACGCTATTTTTAACCAGATGAGTCAAATCTTCAAGTACAGACGCTAAAACATTTGATTCACTGTACATCTTCTGAACCTACACTATTGTTTCTTAAAATACTGTTTTCAAATCAGAATAGTCAAATCTTTTACTGAGTTTATATATTTTATATATTTACTGAGTTTAATAAGCTATTCAGTTTATATATTTACTGAGTTTTATATATTTACTGAGTTTAATAAGCTACTTAAGTTACTCAGTTTATATATTTACTGAGTTTAATAAGCTATAGCACTGTTTTTAAAATATTTTTAGGCAGTCAAATTAATCAAATCTTTAAATAGAGGCACTTAAAGATTTAAGTGACTTTTCATCTTCTGAACCTGCAGGAACAGTTGTTAAAATATCGTTTGTAATCACATTAGTCAAATCTTAAAGTAAAGATCCCAAAAGAACTGACTGATTGCACATCTTCTGAATCTACAGTACTTTTTTTAAATATTCTTTGGTAATTAGATTAGCTATATCTTTGACTGACATTAAAACTTATAAAGCCATAGCACTGTTTTTTAAAATACTGTATAGCAGACAGATTAGTCAAATATTGAAGTAGAGGCATTTAAAGATTTCACTGGTTTACATCTTCTGGACCTACAGTACTGCTTGTTAAAATACTGTTTGTTATCGGATTAGTCAAATCTTTAAGTAGAGATGCTAAAAGCTTTGACTGACTGTACACTTTCTGAATCTACAGTACTGTTTGTTAAGAAGCTATTTGGTAGTCACACTAGTCAAATCTTTCACTGACCTTATATCTTCTAAAGCTATAGCGCTGTTTTTTAAAATACAATTTGGAAGTCAAATTAGTCAAATACAGTCAATAATAGATAGTCAATAATAGATTAGTTAATAAGTAGAGGCACTTAAAAGATTTGACTGAGCTTACATCTTCTGAACCTGTAGTACTGCTTATTAAAATACTGTTTGTAATCAGATTAGTAAGATCTTTGACTGACCTTTAGGAGATCTTATATCTTCTAAAGCTATAGCTCCGTTTTATAAAATACTATTTGTAGTCAGATTAGTCAAATCGTTACGCAGAGACACTTAAGATTTGATTGATCTTATATCTACTATAGATATAACACTGTTTGTTAAAACGACTATAGGATTGCTTGTAAAAATTGTTTGGTAATCAGATTAGTCATAGCTTTGATTGATCTTACATCTTCTAAAGCTATAGTTTATAAACATACTGTTCGGCTATCAGAAGTCAAATTTTTAAGTATAATCAGGAAAAGATTTGACTGACCGTACATCTTCTGAAGCTACAATACTAGTTGGTAATCAAATTATTCAAATCTTTACGTTAAGACGCTTATGGATTTGACTTATTTTACATATTCCGAAGCTACATTTACAATCAAAAAAAGATCAATCACTTACTCGCTTGCTCGGTGTATTCTTCTCCAAATTCCTTGATGACTTCTTGGTAAAGAATACCATAAGATAGCAATAATCCATTTGTCAGCAAGTTGATGGCAAAAGCACATGCACAGATGACCCAACCCCAACCACCTTCAGGATAATAATGCTGCCGGATGGTGGAAATTTTCAGATTGTCCAGCCTGCTGGACAATGAAGGCTTTGTGGAAGATCCGGCACTGGATGCTCCAGATCGCATCTTTCGGACTGGAGCCCCTCCATTCTGGTCTCTGTCCAATAGTTCCACCTTCTCGGTGAGGGCCCCATTGGGGGCCTCTTGTGGCTGACCAAGAGCTGCCAATCCAGCCCCTGGAGCATCTCCCGACGACAGTTCATCTGTGTCTGCAACAATAGGTGCTATGACGTCACTCATTGTTCCCCATCACGTGGTGTATGAACCACATTTTGTTTAACATTGCATAAACTAATGATTGACGCACATGGCAATAATTATTTTGCAATCAGTTTTGGCAGCATTAAATCAAAACAAAATGGCACTTCGTCAGTTGTTCTATTAACAGCTGGAGCACTGGTAAAGACAGATTTTATTTGCATTTCACTGATATTTACCACATAGTTTACCTGTTTTTTATTAATAAAACATGAATTGTATGATTTCATTTCATGTACAGAACAGATTATTCAGTGCTCATTTCGCAAATTTTCTAAAAGTTGATAGTTTTTCATCGTTAAATATTGTTAGGAAAATTCTGCATTAGTTGAAAAATTTTCGTTTGTTTTAAAAATTGCAGTTTTTAACTCTGTTTCTTGAATTTTATTTTTTCCTCTTCATTTCTGATGTAAAATTATTTTATTTTTCAGTCTTTTTATTTAAAAAATAAACATATCATTTTCTCTTTGGCATAAAAGCTATTCAGCTAAATTTTTTAAAACCAAAAAATAATTATATTTAAATTAAACTAAATTATTTAAAATAAATTTCACAATAAAATTCACGCACTCAATGTTTTCTTTAAAATGCATAAATAATTAGTATTAATAATTAATAATAATCATTATTAATAAAAAAATTATAAATTTAAAATATAACACTCTATGTCGCATAAAATTCTGAAAGTTTCTACACTATGAAGCGAGAAATAAATTTAAATTAAATGCATGCTTTGCCTCTAATTATTATAAATGTTTTTAAAAAATGCAATTTTTAAAGTTAATTTAATAATTTAAAAAGCTAACTATCTAAACCAATAGCTAATATCAATAAATTAAACCTCCAAATATCTACGAAATTAGTTTAATTTCTACAGGTATAATAGATAGAATTTCGTAAATATATACTATCAAAACAATAAACTTCTCTTTTTATTTCAATAAATATTTAATATATAAATATTAAAACTTATATTATCTTTATTTCATTAATAAATAAATAAACATAAAAGTGTTTTATCGAAAATATTATTCTAATAAATAAACAAAACAACATTAACTAAATAGTTAAAATAATCAAAGAATAGTGAAACGAAGTTGTTTAGAAGTTTTAATAATAAATATATTTCTTTAATTAAATAATTAAAATTCCGCATTAATTATTTACATTTATTAGTCTATTACAATAAAAAACATTAAAAATACCGTTTAATAAGTTTGTTTCATAGAAGGAAGCTAAAACGTTTTGCTTTTGTATCCTCATGGTATTCCAAGTATCAATCAATATAAAAATATTACTTTTATTTCATAATGTCGTGTTTAATATTAAGCGAAAGCTTTTCTTCAGCAAAAAAAGTATTTAATCAATTTCTTGAATTGTAAACTTATTTATAACTTCATCACTTTGAAATTCTTTTTCCACAAACAAATATTCTATCAGTAATCTAGCGCTTAAAACTGACCTCTTATAAAGTGCTTTAAATATTAAATTTCCATTTTCGCTAAAATATTCACAAACCATTATTTTCTTTAAAACTTTGCCAGAAAAAAATCACTGAATCAATCAAAACACGAATGCAAAATCTCACTTCCAGTATCTCAGCTATTATGTAGATGAGTAAATAAATCACAAACCCTTTGATTTGATTGGTCAGAGCACTTATAAAGTAATCCAGTGCAACTTACGTGGCAATTACATCACCAGCGAATATATAAGCGTATAAACAAGCCATTTAGAACAATTTTACTTTATATATTCTTCGAAAAAAAAGCACATAAATCTAATAATTTATCCTGAGAATACAAAAGTGGAGTTGAGAGAAACAGCGGGAGTAGCAAGAAATCGTCTGCAGGAATTACAGCCACGTGCGTTAGAGAAGAAAAATCCAATGTGTTTGTTCTTAGGGCGGTGAGTATGAGCCATCGATGTTGGTTCGGAGCAGACGACTTTTTGGAGGCGGCAGACGACTTGCACGCGAGTCAGGGGTGGTCGGGCTTGCGGAGAGAGAGCGTAACGCCCTCAGCGGCCGATTGTGTTGTTAGCTGGTGGAAGAATTCTCACAGCTGGATGATTCTTCTTAAACTTAACGGTGGATTATAGTTATTACATCACAGATGAAAAATACAAATACTCTGTTGCTCCTTGGAGAAACTAACAAATATTCTACGTCAATGCTCTACAAGTTAAATATTTCTCAGCCAGTTTTCAAAGCAATTTATTATTAACAATAATTCTTTAAAACGTTAAAGAAAATATATTTTCCTTTACTTCCATTATAACTTCTTTTGTTACATAATTTAACGATTATCATAATTCGTTTCAAAACGAACTAGCAGCGAGCTCGTCTAGCCACTTCAATAGTAATTATAAAAAAAGAAAATATATATATATTATGATTTTAATGAACCCAGCTAGTGTCATATTACTGATTCAGCTAATATATGCTATTAAAAAAATCTATGCGCGTCTGTTTATTTGTTTGTTTGTTTATGGTATCATCTGAAGCCATTTCGGCCATTCTCATCTTCGTACGATTTTATTCAGCCTAGATATTAATTAAAAACTTTGAAAACGCTAATTTTTCTCTTTATTTTGGCGAGTGGCAACAATCTCGCACGCTGGAGATAAAAATCTGCTTTATTTCGAAAAGTGTTGCCACTGTTTCGCTTTCAAATCGTAGAGTTTGTTAATAAAAAATTTGCAAGTTTTACTAAATATGAAATAAAAATAACATTTCCAAACATTAAATATATTATTTCGGATTCGAAAAATTCGCGGGAAACCATTTCGACTACTCTCACCTTCGTCCGACTTTTATCATCCGAGATATTAATTAAAAACTCTGAAAATGTTATATTTCCCACTCATTTTTCTGAATGGCAACAGTCTCACGTGCTGGAAATAAAAATGCTTTATTTCGAAAGTGTTGCCACTATTCGCTTTCAAACCATAGAGTTTGTTAATAAAAAATGTGTAAGTTTTACAAAATATGAAATAAAAATAGCATTTCCAAACATTAAACATTATAAGGTCATATTCTGACGTTGAAGAAAGCACGCAATTGCATGTGACGTCATTGTATATCTAAAATTCTTCTTTAATGTCAGCATTTTAAATAAATAGCTGCTGTTGGCAACTTTTATGTTTCAGGTTAGGATAATTGAGACGATATGTTATCGCCACCTTAATTCTTTTATTGATATTGAGAAAAGGTTGTTATATTACATTAAATTTAAATCATAACATCATACGTATAGTTATTAACCTAAGTGTGAGATGTTTCTTGTTTCCTGGTTTGGCAACAAAAAAAGTAATTTACGACTTGGTTGTTGCTTGGAAAGACTGAACTAAATTCATTCATATTGAAATGTTTTTACACATTTTCACTTCAGGTGTACATAGAACTTATAAATTTTGTTTCGCTGCAGCCCGCTCATCTGGTAGGCTAGCCTGCTAGTACCTAATAATAATTGAAATGAATCTTCTTTTATAGCTTTTAAATCTCTTAGATTGTTATCAATAACATAGATTCAATTTGAAGAAAAAATTAAATATCTTACGCTTTGCCGAATAACAACACGTTGGTGCGTGGAAATTCCGTTCTTTTAAGTGGATAAGCTTGTTGTTAAATATGAAATACAACTAATTACATTTGTTAAGTGGCAATGAATTCTTTAAAAAATCTCCAATGGAATTTCCTAACGAAAGTCTGATCTTAAACTTTATTAGAATCCTATAGAATATTTAATAATTTGTTATAAACTAGGTGTGAGATCTGCTGTAAAATTTTAGATACAGCTTGTAATTCCCTTGTAAAATTGTAAACTTGGAAAATTTTAGATACAGCGTGTACAAATTTATACATAGGGATTCTTTAGAGCTATAGGAAGATATATTTCTCTAGAGATTTGCTCGGAGACTGTATAAAAATTTGCAGTATAGAAATTGTATAAAAATTTATATTTATTGACTGTATAAAAATTTGTAGTATGTCTAAAATCAATTGATAGAATTCTATAAAAAATATCAGATTCCGTTTATAGAAAATTGGATTTTTTATAGAATTCTATAATACAAAATTTATATAAACTAATTTAGAACTATAAAGAATTCTGAACAAATTTCAGTTCGTTAAGTTCGCGAGAGTTCCTTGAAATATGATACTCGAAGTTTTAGCGATTACAGTACTTCCTTTAATTCGTACAAGGAAGTCAAAAATCTCTTGCAGCTAAAAATAGACATTTTTAGCAGATTACGGTAAAACACACGAGGATTATCTGCCGTAAAAACTACCGTAATATATCGTTAAACACGAAACGAAGTTAGGAAATGTTTAATATTGCTTTTACTTCCTTGTAAGAACTAAAGGAAGTATTATAATGGCGAAATATTCAGGGTATCGTATTTCAACGAAAATATCCATTTGAACTGCTCTCAAAAGCATTTGAAGGATATTCTTGTCTGACATCTGTACGTACGGACATCTGTACGTACGTGTGACATCTGTACGTACGTGTTTTTGCTAAAAATGATTGTAAACTAGATTTAAAATGGATTCAAAAGAGAATTTTTCTTCAAGTCTGTACTTAGGTGTGTATGTATATATATTAAAACGAGTAGCCTAACTCAAAAATGAGTAGCCATAGAACGTTAAAATTTAGTATTTGGAACTGCTATAACATTGTAGCTATGCACTTCCCTTTTTCTTTGCAATCGGCTATACCAATCGTGTATAAATATACTCAAGCGATATCAATTTTACTGCAGAAATTGTTTTTCACTCAAAATTGAATTAGCTAAAATGCTTAATCGGAATGAGTTCTTTGGTTCTCTGCATTAGTTCTTAATCCCTTCTATTCAAGGAAATGTTTGGCCTAGCTTGAATTGCCGGTTTGGCATCGCCTTATTGCTCGAGTAAAGGACGAAACACCTTCGTATTTATTTTTTAATTATTGTTCATTGAACGGGAGTTGGTTTGTTCCCCTTGAAAAGTCAACTAATTTCCGATCAATGGCAATGATTACTCGCATTTAATTTAACTACTTGCTTTTAATTTATTTCTTTTTACAATTGAAATTTTGTTATTCATGATTTAATTCAAGTCCCCGTTACATTTTTAACATTTTTCGAAATTGAATATACTAAATAGGGATTCACCCTTCCAGATAATTCTACTAAAATTAATCTTAGGACATAATATAATCAATATTCTTTAGTAAATAAATTATTATTAGCTTACTTTGCGGCAATTGCGCAAGTAGTAGAATAACTCAATTTCGCACTAAGTTAATTTAAGATTATATATCCATAGATATATATTCCTACTTTATTACCTGCCTAGTATTTTTGTTCTTATATGTTGGTATATTGTTTTTTTTTTTTTTTTTTTTTTTTTTTTTTTTTTTTTTTTTTTTTTCTTCAAAGTGCTGGTTTTATGCTCAGATTAAGGTTTTTA